AAAATATAAGGAAGCGGGTACGGCAATATAGTATAAGCAAAAGTATTTATATAGAAATAAGTTTCATGTAAGTCAAAACATAAGAAGAAAAATCTAACTTAATTATCTTAAACGAAAAATAAACTAGTTAATTATGATTGAGAAACTCGTCTTCAAAGTCTGGCTCATCTAGAGAGAGTTCAGAAAAATCCAAAAATCCTCCATCTTCCAATGGATCAGAGGAATCTCCACCAACATCCCACATCTTAGTCTTTTCATTTTCATACTGAGAAGAATTTCTTGATAAAAGACGTAGATTGTTGTGGATGAAAACCAAGTCTTGAGCGTGACTTGGTAACAATCTGTTCCTTCTCAGTGAATGAATAAATCCGTAGGTACTCCAGTTGCGCTCAGAACAAGAAGATGATGTAGGCTGTCCAAAGTTAACCCACCAACTTTGAGGCTCCATAGTAAACATCATTGTAAGGGATGATAAGTCTCCAAACGGGCCAGCCCTCATCTAGAATAATGCATACTCATCCATAACTTTTCGAAGATCTTCACCATTGMGAAACAATCTTTTAAAACACTTTTGWCTTTCATGTGAGATTTKTGTATRCTTATGTGGACCAATTCGTGCGGCARTCCRGTTCAACCATTCATCACTATAAAACCTATAATTTAAAAAATAATATTATACATACTTTGCAATGAAATCAAAATAGAAATRAAAATTGATTGTTTAAAACCATTTACCTGGGATTTAAAGAGTGGGCTAGGCAATGTAGAGGAGTGTTATTCTTTGTCCAACGAGCCATTAAGATTTCATAAACGACGTCATAGAAGAGGCTAAATTCAGWCATTTGTCGTTTCTCCTTCTTGTAGATCTCAACCCTTACCTTCTCAATCATAGAATCCCACATCTCATATACCAAATGAAGACATGGCTTGTCGGTGTCACAAGCTCTGATCATCTCATATATGGATCCTGTGAAATCAAGAATATAAGAAATTTTTTCCCACAACTCATCATCCAAAATCTTATCTTTAACAAAGATTGCTTTCCCCGGATCATCCTCTCTATAAGAAGACCACTCCTCACTTATGACCATGGTTTGAAGAGCCGTTTTGATAAGCTTCATTCTCTTGAGCATTACAATACCTGAGGCAAAGCGAGTGTCAGCGACMGATAGCAWTTTRAGAGGAGAGAACTTACTAAAAATTGCTAGCCTCATATTMTGGTTCATGATGAAATGTTTTATTGCCAAAGCATCATCATGAACGATAGTTATCCAACTACACTCGTCATATGTTTCCTGATTGCTCTCCACATTCTTTG